TTTTTCATCCCCTTCCTATCCGCTCTCTGCCTGCTCCATCTCTTGACCACCTTCACATTTGAGAAAGTTTATCTCCTTACTTCCTATTATCTTTTATTTTGTTCTTTATTTTGGGTTTCTAATGTAAGAGTAACCAAGTGATATTTAAACTTGTGTGTCTGATTTATATCACTTAACATTATGGTCTCAAGGTGTATCCATTTTCCTACAAATGACTCAAGTTTATCTTTATGTTAGAGTTGTACTGTATTGTGTGTTAACACCACATTTTCTTTACCCACTCATCTGTTGATGGACATATACATCACTCCCAACATTTGGTTACTATGAATTGTGCTGCTATAAATATGGGTATACATGCATCACTCTGACATGATGTCTAACTTTTTGGGGAAGATGCTTAAAGAGAAATGGCTAGGTTGTGTAGAATTTCTAGGCTTATGTTTTTAAACATTTAAAGTTTTTTGTGTACAATTATCTTTAGTAGTACTTATTTGTAGTACATAAAACTGCATTCATTGTGAGAAGTTTGTATGTGTAGACAACACATCTTAATTCATTTTCATCCCCTTCTCCTTCCATCCCTCTATGCTCCCTCCAACTCCATCCCTTTCCCATTTGAAAGAGATCTGTTTCACTTTTTCTTAGATTCTTTTTAACTTTCTTTTGTCTTCCTTCCCCACCCTCCCTCTATCTCTTTTTCCCCTTCCCATTTGTAAATGATCTCCCCACTTCCTGTTACCTATCCTTCATTTTGTTCTTTTTGGGTTTCTCATATAAGAGAAACTATGCAATATTTAAACTTGAGTCTGATTTTTAAAAACTTTTTTATCAGTACATATCTGTTATACATATTGATCACATTCATCATAGGAAATTTGTACGTATACATAATATATCTTGATTCTTCTTTTTTCCCATTTCTCTCCATGCCCTTGAACCCCTCTTTCCCCCCATTTACACAAGCTTTGTTTTCATTTTTTCTCTTCCATTCTTGTTTTCTTTTCCTTTCCTTCTCCTCCCTCTCCCTCTCCCCTCCATTGTTCCCTTCCCAGTTGAACTTGTTCTTCCTACTTCTCAATATTTATCCTCCATTGTGCTCCTTATTTGCCCTCTGCATTTCTCACACAAGAGAAACAAAACAATATTTAAACTTGTGTGTCTGAGTTGTTTCACTTAACATTATGGTCTTGAGGTGCATCCATTTACCTACAAATGTCTCAAACATTTATCCTTCATTATGACAGAGTAGTACACCACTGTGTATAAATACCAAATTTTCTTTATCTCTCATCTATTGATGGGATGTAGGCTGTTTCCAAGATTTAGCTATTATAAATTTGTGCTTCTATAAACATGAGTATACATTTATTACCATAATATGATGACTTTAACTCTTTGGGAAGATTCCTAGAAGGGAAATAGCTAGGCTGAATGGAATTTCTATTTTTAATATTTTGAATATTCTGAATACTGATCTCCATAGTAGTTGTACTAGTTTAGATTCCCACCAACAATGTGGCAGGGTTCCTTTTCCCCAACCCCACAAACCTCACCAAATTTTGGTATTATTTGATGTCTTGATGTTAGCCGTTCTTTCTGGAGTAAGATGTTCTCTTAGTGTTGTAATTTGTATTTCTTTAATGGCCAGATACGTTGAATAGAGATAAAATGAAAGATGAGAAAGAAGAGGAAAAAAATGGAAAGGGGAAAAGAGTGAAGGAGAGACAAGACACTAAAAGAGGAGGGAAAGGGGTAGAAAAAACCCTGATCTTCTGAAAAATCTGACGAAAGAAAGTTGAAAATTAAAAAAATAGAAAAAATTTAAAAAAATGGAATTAGAGAAAGAAAAGTCTGTGTTTTCGAATGAGCAGTTTTCCCCAAGATGCGCTGTTTTGTGATCCAGACAGCCATGACTCTCTCCACCTAGTGTTAGGGCCCATGGGTTTTTGAGGTGCTCTCTTTGCCCTAGTGGATCTTCTGCACCATTCAGTCCTGGCTGCAATTACTGTTCAAGCCAATGCATGTTCTTGTTCACATTGGTAGATGGGAAACTCTATCAGCCCTCTGATCTATGCTGAATGTAAGCCAAGGGGGCAGGGGCTCAAGTCAACTGTTAGACTTAATGTGGATGGTCATGGGGTCTGATTTTGGTCCCTTCTCTCCCCAGATATTGTTGTCTTCTAAGATCAGGTCACTTGGCTAGTCCTCACCTCTGCTGGCTCATGACAAGGGAAGCAAAATGTAGAACTGATGTGGAGTTGATGGATGACCTCACCCTCGTGGGTGGGGGAAGCACTAGTGTCATGTGTGCTGGTGTTGGGGATGAGGCACCTCAGATCCAGAGGATGAGTGCTGTGGGTCCAGCACGATTCTGTCTGTTCCCATTCTTGCTCACGTTGGGGTCGGGAGGGTGCCACAGGTCTGGTGCTGGCCTGCTTGCTTATGTAGGGAACAGGTACCATGGGTCCAGCACACGCCTGCCTGCTTATATTTGGAAAACAGAAGTTTATTTTGCTCATAGTTCTGGAGACTGAGAGGTCCAAGAGCATGGTGCTGGCATAGAGCATCTATGTTTTATCATAATATGGCAGAAAGGCAAGTGAAGGCACAGCAGAAAGAGAGAGAAGGCAGGCCAAGGACAACATTTTCATCAGGAACCCCATGATAAGTAAACCTATGATAAGTAAGCCATTCCCCAAAGCACAACATTAATTCATTTATAAGGTCTAAAGTTCCTACATCTTCAGCAATTCAATCAACATGAATTTTAGTGGGAACATTCACACCACAAAAAAAAAAAAAAAAAGAGATGATTCTAAATGAAAAAGGCCTTGGAGATATAGCTTTTAGGCCATTGTTACAGTTACAATATAAAACTATAGGAAATGTTACATGAACCAGAATATCTGTAGATGTCTAAGAAAGTGGAGTGTAACTGCTAGATGTGGAAAGAGAGTTAGGGGGTAGTGGTTAACATGTTATTCCTCTGGCCCTGGATTTAGGCCCTGGTCCTACAATTAACCAGTGTGTGGTTTTGGGAAAAATTACTTAACTTCTCCACCCTGTTGTGTCAGCTGTGAAACAGAAGTGATAAGGATATTCTTAGCATGAAGGTGTGAAGTGCATGGTGCCTAGTGTAAAACAGGTGCTCTTCAAATGTTTATTTCAATTACTGTTATTATGCTGGAATTGAGAATCACTAGAACACAAAAAAGCATCATACCCTACTCTGTGCAGAAAAATAGAAGTCATACTCTTCCAGATTTTTTTTTTTCCCGGTACTAGGAATCGAACTCACGATGTTGTGCTTGCCAGGCAGACGCTGTGCAGCTGAGCTAAATCCCCAGCCCTACTTCCAGATTTTTGGAAGAAAGTTGCCTTTAGCCATATGGAAATCTAAACTCTGAGAAATCAGAACTTAATGATAGTTAAACTGGTAAGATGGTCTGTAAGAAAGAAGTGATAAAAATTAAATCTCATTGGAGGGAAAATACCCAAAATAAATGTTTGGATGACCTACCTTAAAAACTGTTAATTAAGCAGCTCATTAAAGACAAATTTTATAGAAGGAATCCCATTTTTAAAAAACTTCCTCATGGAATCAGTTCCTCCTTTGTTGAACTGCTTTCTGTACAATGCGTTGGACTGTAGGGATAGAGTGGAGAGCAGGCCACCCGAGTCTCTCACTTCACCAACTGTTGGGCTAAGATGCTGCTTCCGAGTCCTAGAAATGGCTTCATACAATATCAGATGCTAAGGATCTACACAAATATCTCACCACAAGGGAAAGAACCATCAGCTGCATATTAGATCAAAACATTTGGTTGCACATTTGGTTATATAGAAGGATCAAATTTATCTTTGAGAATCTAAAATTTAACATGTAAGATGCTGGCTAAGAGCAGAGAGACCCTTCTGTCATAGCACATTTCTGGAGAGACTGTGAGGATAAGTGTACTTCTTTGTCCCTCTTCTAAGCAGTAGCTACGCTCCATGATAATTTAGTTTGAGAGCAGAAAAGTTCAGTATGTCAAGTCCAGCCCTGGTTGAGCATGAACATTTGACCCCATTAAAATATAGTCATAGAAGAAAGGCCTGGGTTCAACTTCTTAGATGTAACTGGCTGTAAAATTGTGCACCTCAAAAAGCAAAAACGTAAAATCAGAATCACAAGAATCTGCCAACCAAACAAGAGCAATTCAGTTAGGACTTGGAGATTGTAATACCCAACAGACATCGCGCTGGGTGAAAATGGATTCCCGCTGCCTTTTGAACTGATTTCTGACTTCTGGCTCCAATGTTCACAGGCAGCCACAGCTCCCCCTGACCTGTCAAGACTTGCCTATCACTCCTCAGTCACTCCTCAGACAGACTGGACCAGCTGGCCTCCATGCCTTTGCTCATGTTGGTTCCCCAACGTGCAACACGTTCCCTGCTTGCTGCTCGCTCCTCTCACCAAAGTCTTCTCCTCCACCCTCCCAGGCAGCCTAAGTGTCACCTCTTCCACCCTCGAATGTCTATGGCCTCTGACTGCAGCGGTCTACTCTGCAGAGCCACTTGCTACACCCCCACTTCTCTGATGGCTGTTTGTATACCTAAGGCCTCCACTGGGCAGGGATCCTCTTTGTAGCTCAGGGCCTCACATAGAGCTGCAGAGGGACATGGGTTTGTTGCAGTGCAAACATCTTTCCACCCCCAATACAGCAGGCTCCTAAAGTATGGTATGGGACAGGGAGAGCAGAGCTGTTGAGGACAGAAATAAATCTATATTCTGGAAACAGTCTCCAGAGGTATAAACTCTCCAGAGGTGACACGATTTAAGATTAAATGAAAAAGAGGAAGACTTACCACTGTCTTCAGAATACATTCTGATGGATCCCCCAAGTTGGGACCACTGAACTGTATAAACTCATCTTTGTCTGGGTACCACTTATGCTAAATTGTTAAGCAACAGTTCCTTGACATTTCTAAAAGAGCTTGTTTTTTCTCCTCCTTAGGGCCAGTCCTGTGACTATTGTGATTCCAAGGACCCTCAGAAGGCACACCCAGCCTCCAATGCGATCGATGGCTCTGAACGTTGGTGGCAAAGCCCTCCTCTCTCCGTGGGCATGGAGTACAACCAAGTCAACCTCACCTTGGATCTGGGTCAGGTGAGTTTTGCTTTCCAGTGGAGTGGGAGCATTCCTTTGGGTCAGTGTTTCTGTGGTGGTTTCTGATTTCACAGTACTTTTTGTAAGAAACAAGCTTCAGGTTTAATTTACTAATCCTTGTCCAACCTGTGACATCAATTTTTTGATCTTAATATTTGCGTTAAAATAGACAGAACAGTGCCTGTCACAATGCAGATCTCCATACCTGACAATTAAACAACAGTAAAAATAGTTGCAAGGGTTTTATTGTCAAGGATTCATTTTTAAAAAAATTTAAATTGCATTAGTGCATGTTTGCAGTAGGTAATGATTACATTCATTGTGGGAAGCCGGCAAGATGGGTAACGCAGCTCAGCTCTTTTTACTTTGCTTCCTCTGCCTCTCCCTTCCTCAACTGTGGTGAAATACAGCAGAAGGGCATCATTTTAACTATTTTCAAGTTTACTGTCCAGTGGTATTATACATTGGCATTGTTTTGCAGACATTCCCACCTCTAGAATTGTTTGTGTCTTTTTCATCTTGCAAAACTGAACTCTGCATCCATTAATCCCCAATCCCCTCTCTGTCCAGCCCCTGGCAGCCACAGTTCTACTTCCTGTGAGCTGATGACTCTAAGAACCTCATAGAAGTGGAATTATACAATATTTCTTTTTGTGACTGATGTTTTGCTTAGCATAATATCTTCAAATTTCATCCATGTTGACCATGTCCCAGGAATTTCCTTATTTTTTTAAAGCTTGATGACATTCCATTGTATGTATAGACCACATTTTAAAATCCATTTATCCATTGATGGACACTTGGGTTGCTTCCAACTTTTGGCTTTATGAATAGCACAGCAACGAACATAGGTATGGCAAAGATATTTTTATAGTATCTCTTTCCTGAAAATATTGACTCTATGCACCCAGACTACCAAAGCAGTAGGTTTTATATGTAGGTCCTGGGCTCCTTTTGTGGACTGTGATTTCAATCATAATTAGTTCTCAGAGACCATTGAATATTGTCCTAGTCTGCTTTGTTCTTCTGTTACTTGGGTCTCCTGCTTCGGCCCTACTAGCGCCTCCAGTGGGGTCAGAATGGACTACTGCGCCAGTGATATCTGATAAGGAGTGGGAGACGCTGGGCCACTGGAACAGAAAATACTTTCCCAATGCACTGTCTGAAGCTGTTGGCCAGGGGGGCTCCTGCTGTGGAGGACAGTTGGGAGTTGAGGACACTTATAGGGTATCAAAGTATGAGGTTGGATGAAAGTGAAAAAGAAGACATCCAGGGTGGAACCTTGAGGCTCTCCAGCTTCAGGAAGTCAAGGAGAAGGGAAGGGGCCATGGAAAGACTGGCATAGAGGGACAGATAAGGGAGGAGGACCACTGAGAGTGTGTGGTATTCTAACACCCCACATCATTGTGACAGTATCCTTGAGATCATCAGCCTAAAGGAAGAAAGATTTATTTTGGCTCATTGTGGGCTGTGATCACTTGGCTTTGTCACTTTGGAGCAGCAGAGAGGTAGACATCATGGCCTAGAGCGTGTATAAGACCAAAGCTTCTTATCTCATGGTAGCTGGGAGGACAGAAAGAGAGAGAGAGAGAGAGACAGAGAGAGAGACAGAGAGAGAGACAGAGAGACAGAGAGACAGAGAGACACAGACAGACAGAGAGACAGAGAGACAGAGAGACACAGACAGACAGAGAGACAGAGAGACAAAAAGAGAGACAGAGAGATGCTGGGGTAACACTGTCTCCTTTGAGGATGCACCCCCAGTGACTACTGTCCTTCCACTAGGCTCTATCTCCTAAAGGTTCCATCACAGTAGGGCCATCAGTTGGGGACAAAGCCTGCAGCATATGAACCTTTGGGCTTTGGGGGAGTTTAAGACCCAAACTGTAATGTAGCCAGATGAAGAAATATGTAAAAAAGAGTGAGCTGTGCAACTCAACAATACAAAGAACCTAATTTTAAGACACAAACCAAGGATCTACACAGAGTTTTTCAAAGAACATACACAAATAACCAATTAGCATATATAAGATGCTGAACATCTCTGACCATTAGGGAGGTCCAAATCAAAGCATAGTGAGATATGATTTTACACCAGTTGGGTACTTATCATAAAGAAGGTGGTAATAACCATGGTAAGGCTGTGAAGAAACTGGAACACTCCTGCACTGCTGGTGGAAATCTAAAATGGTTCGGCTGCTTTGGAAAAATAGTTTGAACAAAAAGTTGAATATCGAGTTACCCTTGGACCCAGCAGTTGTACTCCTACTTGTGTATCAAAGACAAATGAAAACGCACATCCACAGAAAATTTTGTTCATCAGTGCTCGTTGCAGCATGGCTCATAATGGCCCAAGAGGGGAAACAGCTCAACTGTGTATTAGCTGATGAACAGATAAACCAAACAGGTCACACACCTACAATGGAATATGATTCAATAAGAAAAAGGAATTATACAGATGAATGCTACAGCATAGATGAATCTAGAAAGCATCATGCTCTGTGTAAGAAGCTAGTCATAAAGGATCACATGTCATATGGCTCCAATGACATAATTCTGATGAGGTCCAGATAGGCAAGACTACGGAGAAAAGTAACTGAGTGGTTCCCTAAGGCTGAGAGTTTTGGAGGGAACTGGGGAGGGACTACCAATGGGTATGTTATCTGAATGAGAGGCAATGAAAATACTCCAAAGTTAACTGTAACGATAGTTGGACAACTTTGAGAATATACCAAAACTATGGGCTTGTATACTTCTGATGGATGAATTGTGTGGTGCGTGAATTAAAGCTGTCTAGAAAAGAAGTCGTGAAAAGGCAGTGTGGCAAGGAAAAAAAAACGGAGACAGGAAAACCATGTCCAATACTGCTGGTATCAGGTAACATAGGGCCGGTAGCTGACCAGCAGCTGACCTTGTGTTTGTACATGGGAAGTCACTGGAGGCTTTGATAAGAGGACAGACAGCCTGCGTGTGGGAAGATGCAGGGTTAATGTGAGGGGAAAGGAAACACCTATTGCACAAATGTGTTTTGAAGAGTTTTCTTGCAATGAGAAGAAAGGAAACAGGGAAGAGTAATTGAAAAGTCAGGTGCAGAGAAGATTTCTTTAGCAACATGCTTGTGTGTAGCTGGTGCTATGAGCAGGAGGAAGAAGGCTGCTGCGGTGGACATGGGGTCGTCAGGTGCTGTCACTGCTCACGCTAGAACGAATGCTAGTGCTGTACTAATGACATACTGTGTGCTGGCTACCGCTGCACACAGAGAGTGAGCCATACAAGAAATACTGCCCGAAAGAAAGCTTAAAGAGGAAATAGATCTGCCCACAATCTGGAAATTGAATGGTTTGGGCATTTCTTAGAATGAATGTTGCTATTTTCATTTCAGTTGGTATAGAAGGACTTTTGTGGCAGAAAGCCTCTCAGCCTCTTTAGCCCATATGTTGTGCTAAATTAGGCCTCTCCTGAGAATATTTCCACCTTCAATCTGCTTCTAATTCACAGATCCTTCATGGGTGAAGGACTCTATGATCCCAATTTCAACTATGATTTCTTCTTAGCCATACAACAGCTAACCTCTGTTCAGCACATTTTACCTATAAGGACCAAAAGTTGCTCATTGTATTGTTTTTAAGTGAGTTTCTGTAGTTAGGAGAATTTTGTTATTTTATTTTTATTAGTACATGTGTACAGCACATAATAATTACATTTATCATGGGGAGCTGGTACACGCACTAACACATCGCAGTGCTGTTTGTCCCTCTCCCCTTCATTCCTCCCTGTTCCCTTCAGCTCTTTTTTATGTAGTTATTTGTTTTCTTTTAAAGAGAATAAACAACAAAAATGATACAGAATTTCCAAACAAGATGATAGGAAATTAACAATGGTTATTATATTGCATATTGTTATGTTCAGAGTAGTTCTTCAGATTTCCAGACACAGGCATGTAAGATTGATCAAACAGTATAAACACAAACTGTTCCTTTCAGCGAACTAAGAGAAATACTAATACAATTATCTTAGCTGTCTTGTGTGTGTATATATATATATGTATATATATATGCATTTTTTTCCTTCCTTCTTTTCAACTTTCCTCTATCCCAGTTGCTTTCTTTTGAGCCATTTCTTTCCCTTTCACTAGAGACCATACTCAAATGGGAGTTAGTCAGACCCACGTGTAAACATCGTATTGTCTCCCTAGTGTAAGAAACTGAAAGAGTAAATAAGATCCAAAAGGTACAATAGATACCGTGAAAGGGAAAGAAACCTTCAACTCTTGTTTCTCTTCCCATTTGAAAAGCTGTATTTTTATTTTCTCTTCAATGCTCTCTCTCTTTTGAAATCTATTTTGTTTTCTTTCCCTTCCCTCCATCTCTTGTTCCCCTCCTATTTGAAAAAGATCTCCCTATTTTTTTCTATCTATCCTTAATTTTCTTTTTTGCATATAACTTAACTTTCTCAGGTAAGAAAAACTATGTAATATTTAAACTTCTGTGTCTGATTTATTTCACTTAACATTATAGACTTAAATTGTATTCATTCACCTACATGCCCCAAGTTTATCCTGCTTTATGACAAAATAGTACTCCATTGTCCATAAATACCACATTTTCTTTATCCATTCATCTGTTGATGTGCATATGGGCTGTTTCCAAGATTAAGCTGTTATGAATTGTGCTGCTATAAAGATGGGCATGCATGTTTCACTGTGCTAAGATGACTTTAACTCTTACAGAAAGTATCCTGGAAGGGGAATAGTGGGTCAAATAGAATTTCTATTTTTAATTTTTTTGAGGAATCTCCATACTGCTCTTCAAGTGGTTGTACTAGTTTACATTCTCACCAACAATGTAGATATATCCCTTTTTTGCTTACAGCTTCATCAGCATTTATTATTATTTGATTTCTTGATGATAGCCATTCTTTCTGGAGTAAAATGATATCTTGGCATTGTTTTAACTTGCATTTTTTAGTGCCCAGAGATGGTGAACATTTTTCATGTATTT